TGTTTCTTATTATTTTAATAAACTTAAAAAAATAAAATATTAATAAGTTATTTTCAGCTCATTTTTTATTATATAATAAAATAATAAAAGTATTTTATAACTAATTTTTCATTACACTATCAAATATCAGAAAATAATTTATTTTCCTGTAATTCACTTTTTAAAATAAAACTATTTTCCAGCAGACGTTACATTATCTTTGTCTTTGGAAATGTAGTTTTTTTTAAAAAAAATATTTTTAACATCAGGTTTTTTTTTTAAAAAAATATTTTTAACATCTACCATTAATCTCCAAGCTTATATATCTAAATTTAATGTTTAAATTTTTTTTATATATATATATTATTTTAAATATTTATTTTTAAAATTTTAATGTCTAACACAAGAATTACTTTGAACCCGGAAGAGTTCGTGGTCACTATAGTTTCCCCTGTTAATTAATTTTCTAATTACTTAAGCATATTCTTAGGCAAATTCCAGGATTACTTGCTATGATAATGATTAATACATACGTGCTAAGGAAGTAACCAAGCTATTATTAATGCAACGCCGTGCGCAAGCTTCAAAAATATTTTTGAAATTTTTTATTGCGTTACATTAATTCATTTTAGTATTTTAAAATTATTTTATTATAATATATTAATATTAAAAATAATTTTTAAAATAAATATTACTTTAATAAAAAATATTTTTAAAAATGACTATAATTACAATACAGTATAGAATCATAAAATGGCATCTCAAATCATGGGTAGCTGCACCCACCACTATCTTCTCTGGGATAATAAATTGCTTTATGAGTTAGCAATTACAATCAATCATCTGTAATTGTAATAATTTAAATAATTAGATAATTACAAAGTGCGAGGGCAGATTTTTATGATACATTCGCCTATAACTTGAAACAGTACTATAACTAGTTTATCGCTCCTGCGTTTAAAATATTATGATTTTAATTAAAACATGTAATTAATTTTAATTTAATATATAAAAAAATGTTTCTTTATATCATAAACTCTCATCATGTTCAATAGCGGTGGACCGACAAGGCACCCAAAAACAATTCAAGGTACACTAGCCCAAAAGCAAGATAACAGTTTTACGTGATACATGTACCGCTTCAAAGTAAATATCTTTTCATGGGCTCGAGGAATGCATCTAATTATTTGCTGTAGTTTATTATTAAAGAACTGGAAAAACATGGATGAATGCAGTCGACAGGGGTGTGTATATATATATATAAATGTAGATTTGTTGTTAAAACTATGAATTGAATTATAAAATTATATTATTTTATGAGTGAATATGTATCTAATAAATTTAAAATAAAAACTTGAAAATTAATAAAATGAGATGTATAAAACTAATAGACTTGATTAAAACTATACAAAATCGTGATTTTTCACTTGATTTTATGAGCTTTTAGAGGTATAAATAAATTGAAATCAACTCCGTTCTCGACCTTAGCCTTCTTGCCAAAAGTGAAATGAAGAAGGAAAAAACAAAATAAGACACTTAAATTTCTATTTCTATTTCCATTTGCAAGTTCATTCTCATCAAACCCACTTCTTGCCAGGTTAGCTCTCTTCTCCAGCCCCGTAAAAAACGAAAGAAAGTTTGTGTTTTTTTTTGTGGTAATTCTTTGAATTTGGAGAATATGGCCGATCAAAATCACTGTTGTCTGTGTTGATTCTTGAACCTCTCTTTTTTAAAATAAAATAAAATTATAATGTCATGATTTGGGATTTTTTTTAAAAAAAAAAATAAAATTATAATGTCATGATTTGGGATTAGCCTTGTCTTTATTTTTAAATATATATGAATGGTGTCCTTTCTCAGGAGATAAGCAGGGATGGTTTTCTGGGTTCTTGGCAATGGTTCACTAGCATGGAACCCAGGTTTTGAATATGATGAGAAAGTGATTGAATTTATCAAGGATTACAGGCATGTTTTTGATCTTGGCATGTTTGTGTATTAATATGAAGTTATTTTTTTCAATTACAGTAATAATCTTGGTTTTTTATAGTTCAGCTATTGTTAACAGATCTCATGTTCTGTACGCCAGCTTGCACTGATCGCAGAGGTACACCTGAAAGTCCTGAAAGAACTTGCACGATGGAAAATGCTGGAGGAGCTGTTTGCGTCAGTGGTGGTGGTGGTCAGCCAAGAATGCTCATCTTTCTAGGTTAAATCTTTGTACTGCTGCTCTATCCTGCTCTCAGTAGGCTTTTGTTTTTCCCTGTTTTGTTTCTTATTCCTCTCTTTTCAATTCTTGCAGCGGGAAGCTGCCTCCTGTGTACGGGGAGGTCCCAAAACGGAGGCATGTCCTGTTACTGTGTTTCTAGCTTAAAATTGCTTTAGATTTAGCAGAACTGGCTATTTATTAATTTGACGGTAGAAATGAAACATTGTTTTCAGACTCATCCGGGGTTCATCTGTTTAAGAAACTGAATTTTATGTTATACAGGTTGATCTAGAAAAATTTTAAAAAAATATTTTAAATTTTAATATTTTATATAAAAAAATTAAAAAATACATGTGAATATAAAATATACATATGATAAAAAATAAAATTTAAAAATATTATTTTAAAATATTTTATATCTCACATTAAAAAAAATTATATTATTATGTTATTTTTTTTAGGTTAAAGAATTTAAACAAAAAAAATTATCATACTATATTTAAAAAAATATAATTTTTTTCATATGAATATATAATATTTATAGTAAAGTATTTCAATCTTATATTTAAAAATAAAATATTTTTCTAATATTTATATAATAAATCTTGAAAAGGGTTAATAACCAACTAAAAAATATATATATAAAAAAATTCTAGCTAGTAAAATAAAATATTTTAGGAAAAAACAAATCAAGTTTCAGCTAAGTTTTGTTAAGTCAATCAAGTCATAGATTAACTAAATTTTTATTTATTTTACTCAAACTTGTTCAACAATCTAATAGATTTACTAAGTTAAGGGTATGATCTAAGATGGAGTGGCAATACTAAATTCATAAGCTTAATGCAGTGTAAATTGTGTTTTATAAAAAAAATAATTTTTTTATTAAAATTTAATATATTTTATATGTTTTGAAATGTTTTGATATATTTATATTAAAATAATTTTTTTTAAAAAAAAAATATTATTAATATATATTTTAATATAAAAAATTATTTAAAAAATAACTATAATTATACTATGAAACAAGCATTAGTGTTGGAGTTGGTAAGGAAAATATGGAGTTCGTAAAGAAATATTTTCCGCAGGTTGTGAAAGCAGTAGCTGAATTGTCATTTCTTACATGTAGTGACATCCATTGGTTTCTTTTTGGAGGTATCTGGAGAGGCTATAATGCGATAAAAAGACCCCTGTGGATTTTTGTAAGGTAAGGTAATGGTTTGTTTTTATTGAAGTGTTTGAATTTGCCGGATGATTTCTAGGCTTGTCTCCATGCTCTTTGTCCTCTTATTTATGATCCATTCCTGCCTTTTCCTCAATGTAGGGG